AAAAAAAAAAAAAAAAAAAAAATCCCTCTTATTAGATATGACAAATTAAGAACTGATATACAACTTTCCATTACAAAGAAAGTCAAGGCTGGCTTTCAAGCAGCCGTAGTGAAGCTTGAATTTCTGCTGGTCACTGTGTTGGATCAATAATAAAGATGCTGCCCTAGCTGGTTTTGCTCAGTGGTTAGAGTGTCGGCCTGATAATTATAATAACAATATTTACAGTGTATTAGATACCATACTAAGGGCTTTACTTGTATTATTTTAATACTCACAATAACTTTATCAATCCTAATTTATAGAATAGATAAATAATTAGTAGATAGTCCTTTTCAGCTTTGTTTTTTGCTACCCAAAGGTCAAAAGGTATAAACTACATTTCCCAGACTACATTGCAGCTAAGGTACAGACCTGCTACTTAGCTCCATCGAGTCAAGACATGGAGCCATAAATGAACTAAATGCAGTGGAAGCCATTCTCTGGGAGACTGGATCTTCTGGTCCATATGCAGGTAGATATATCTGGTTTAGCTGGGGCAGCTATAATGCAGTATCTAGCATTTAGTTTCAAAGGCCTTAGTTACAAGGTTATGGGTGGCTGGGTCAGTGCTGTTTGGGCTAAAAAAGTACCACAGTGTTTTTGGACAATTTCTGCCTGTGTTGTTTCTGAATGTGAATATCCAAGAATTATTAGCTATACCCTTTTTTCCCAGATATTCTGGGAGCTGCTTAATGTCTTTTAATAAATTCCTTTCCATTTACCTACCTAGAGTAGAGTCTGTTGTTTGCCAGTAAAACGATGGCTTGTATAGTAATTGAGATCAGTGAAATCATTAAAGGCTAAAAAAAATGATGTTCCTAAATTATGGCACTTGACTATCTAGTTTTCCAGAAAAGAATGTGATGTTTGAGATATTGTAAAGCAGAGACTTGAGGTTAATATTTCCTAGAATAGCAGTAATGATGATTAAACTAGTAGCATTATGTTAAAGGGACTAATAATTTTTAAGTTAGTTTTGCTGCAATTCTGGAAAAGTACCATACCTAAAAACAAATGTGTCTGTATGGCCCAAGTCAAGTAGAGAGCCAAAATAATTATCTAGGCAAGTTATGAAAGGAAGGAAGACAGGATGAAGGAAATAAGATCACTTTAAATGTCCATTTTATATCAGGCACTGAATAAGGACCTCTATACACATTGACAAGGAGATTATAATAAAAGAATTATACAAATTATAATGGTTGGCAGGCAATGGTGGCTGGTGCTCAGACTGATCAAGAGGAGTAAGAATTTCAATTAAAATAGATATATTTGGAGTGAAATTAGTTTACTCAATTAAAATACACTATAAATAATAATAAGCAATAATAATCTATTAAGAACTTTCTGGAATAAATAGATGCCATATAAACAAGTAAAGTAGGTGGATAATCTCAGTTGCTTATTATTTGCCCAAAAGTATGAATGACCATGTTAAGGCTACAGAGAGAACTCCTTATTCTCCATTCCCCATTTCTTGCTTACCATGATTGTCCACTTTCTGTTTTCAGCCTCTGGGAATACTAGTGATTTCGGAGAATAAAACACTTCATCATCCACTTCTTCTGGCTTTCTGGGCAAGCAGTGTAAAAATGTCCAGTCAGAGGCAGCAACTTGAGCAGTCTAAGGAAGAGATGAGGATAAGATTGTGTTTTGACTATTATATGTGGCTATCACATTTGTTTTCTTCCGTATTTAAAAACACATATGGCCTGGAGTCAGAGATTATTGCAAAGGGAGAGATGAAGGGGCATGCAAAGAGACAAAGAAGGGGTTAAGCTCAAGGCAACCAAGGGAAATGTATATGGTACTTTCAACTTATGGAACTTTAAAGTCATTTTTTTTATTTGAGAGATCATCACTCCAAATTAAAACCACTACCTCAGTTTTCTGGTGCTCTGTCTAGGGGGATAGTGGACATTTCAGTGAAGAACTGTACTAGTGAAATATGTGGCTACTAGCAAAAGTGACCAATTATCCCCCAATATATTTTAGCAGTTGCTTTTAAGTGATTGTATTATATTTTGAGCTTATCTCCAAATTATGGTTTTTAGCACCTGAAGCATACTTTATTACCACTTAAAACAATTTTGAAAAAGAGTGCTGAGATAGAAGTACATTAAACAGGATTATGGGCACTATGCACTAGATGTTTCATTCTTAATGCAAATGTCCTAACAGCTTTAGTTTTCTCCAACAGTTAATTCCTGCAAGTTATATTTTCCCATCCATTTCCATTGTTCACTTATAAATTCAAAACTACATTCCATCATAATTTCTTACCTCAGAATTACTACTTTCGTACTTAAATTTTGTTTTACCTCTACTCTAGGTCTAGGTTTACAACCTTCTGAGTTTCTAAATACTGGAAAAGTGACAAAGGAGAAGAAAGACATTTGAACCTGTCATACATCAGTGACATTACTGCTCTTCATGTCTACAGTTCCAGCACCAGAAAAATGTCTAAGTTTGGTCAAGATGAGTATGAGGTAAACCACAGGGAAACTGAAAATTCTCCATGGGTAAGAGAGCAGACTGACAGCTATCAGAGGGGAGGGTGTAGGAGGGATGGGAGGGAAAGGTGAAGGGATTAAGGAAAAAAAAAAGCTTCATAGGCCCTGACAACAGTTTGGTGCTTGCCAGAAGGAAAAGGCGGTGGGAGGAGGTAGAAGAGGGTAAAGGGGGGATAAATGTTGATGGAAGGAGACTTGACTTGGGGTGGTGAACACACAACACAATATACAGATGATGTAGTATAGAATTGTACCCCTGAAATCTATATAATTTTATTAACCAATATCACCCGAATAAATTCAGTAAAGAATAAAATAAAAATTCTCCATGAAAACGTTTGCCACATATATGACAAGGGATTGGCCACAATATATAAACAACTCCTTTTGCGGGGCGGGGCAAGAGTGTAGTGAAAGGGGTCAATGGGGGGGAAATGAGGATACCTGTAATACTTTCAACAATAAATACCAATTAAAAATAATAATAATAAAAGGAGAAAAAAACAATAGAAAATGGACAAAGGATATGATAGTGGTTTATAGAAAAAAACATAGAAATAGCAAATAAACACAAAAAGATGTTTAACTTCATTAGTAATCAGAGAAATGCAAATTTTAAAAAGCATGAGATATACATTTTTAAAATTAAAAATGTAAATAACTAAAGATAGAGAAAGTGTGAAGGGACTCTAAGTTGTCAATCCTGGGGAGCAGACAGAAGTAGGGAGGAAGGGGGTTAATGGGAGGGAAAGGGGGACATCTATAATACTTGCAACAATAAAGATAAATTTTTTAAAAAGTATCTGACATTTCACCCAGAAGTTCTTCATCTAGCGATCTATTCTCCAGTAATACTTTCACAAAGAAATATGTATAAGGATGTTCATTGCAGTATTGTTTGTAATTGGGTTAGTTGAAAATAGCCTAATTTATTAATAGGAAATATTTTAAGTGAATTATAGTACACTCATACTTTGGAATTCTATGCAGCCATTAAAAAGAATGAAAAATATATAAATGAATAGATAAGAAAATCTAAGATTTGTTAAGTGAAAAAAGTAATTCAGAATAATATGTATACTATACCATTTATTATAAATCAATAGTTTTGTGTATATACATATGCAAATAAACAGAAAAGTTCTGCAAAGAGACACATCAGACTGATAAACGCTGGCTACCTGTGGGAATAGTTACATTAAGGGGAGAGGGGAAAGACATTTTCAATATTTATTTTTCAAACTTCATTCTAGTGACATATATAAATAAGGAGTATATAGTTATATATTACTTTATCAATAAAATATCTACTATAATGGCTTAATCCCTCTCTGTACAAAAACAGATTAGTTGTTCTGCTGACAAAATCCCAATGTCCACCTGACTTTTAGGGTTTCCTCCAGAATAGTTGTTCTCAAAGTGTGACCCTAGAGCAGCAGCATTGCATCACCTGGGAACCTGGTAGACACGCAAATTCTTGGGTCCCACTCCTGACCTACTGATTCAGCATCCCTATGGGAGTGGGGTCCTACCAGCTGTGTATAAACATCCCCTCCCAGCAACTCTAAGGCATGCTCAAGATTGAGAAGCATTAGCCCAGCCGGGCGTGGCTCAGCGGTTGAGCATCGACCTAGGATCCAGGCGATCGGGGTTCGATTCCCGGTCAGGGCACATGCCCAGGCTGTGGGCTCGATCAATGACTCTCTCATCATTGATGTTTCTGTCTCTCTCTCTCCCCCTCTCCTTTCCTCTCTCTGAAATCAATAAAGATATATTTTTAAAAAATAAAGATTGAGAAGCATTGCTTCAGATATTCATGAAAGGCATCACATTCGATGGGATTCCGTTGGGAATGCCCTGGAGGCAGTTAGCAGAATTTAACTGGACTTGAGTGCTTAGAAAACAGAGTCAAGGACTAGCCTGAAGAACATAACTATGGGGCCTTTCTTAGAGATGAAAGCAGAAGAAACTGCATGCAACAGAAGTAACCTTATGTCTCTAAGCACATGAAGTGTAAAGCATTCTGATGCCTCCGTTGCTGTAAGAGGGAAAAGTTAGTTTTCTTCTGCTGCTGGGTTTCAAATTCCTTCAACCAGGACAAAAGAGTCTTTCTAAAGGACATAGCTAATCTTTGAGAGAAGAAAAATCCCTAGGAGATACAGTCACTGAGTCCTTCATAGGGAATGAAAGGACAGTGTGCTGTCCCCAAAGTGAATGAGTGATTAGATGGTTCTGGCCAGTATGAATGGAATTAATGAACCTTCAGAGAGATATCAGTTTGTACCTTCATTGTAACCTGGTAACCTTTGAAAGCCTGGAGCCGCTTTTTCTTCTCCTCTTCTTGCCCCATGCTTATCCAAGTGTCCGTAATTAATACGTTGCCTCCACGAGCAGCTTCCAGTGGATTATTCGTCAGTGACAGCTTGGTATTGTTCTAGAATACATAGCATGCCAATTAAACAACTTCATGGGACAGAAAAAGGCAATAATAACTTTATATGTAAGGAACATACCTCCTTGGCATACTGCTCTGCCAACTTGATTATACTGGGATCCGGCTCATAACCCTGCAAGGGAAAAAATGTAACTGTTATTTAGGTAATTTTATTATATATACTTTCTTACATACATTATATTCCTTTCAACAATATTCCCACTTTCCCTTTTTTTTTTTTTTTTTTTGCTTTAAGTTGTAGTGCAACCATGTTCAGTAGTATATGATTTTTACATCTTGATCAAACCTTAATATACCTTTTTGAAATTTAAAAAGATAACCAATTGCCCCATTTTTCTTTTATTGTCTTGACCTCTTTAGTCATAATGACAAACAGAGTAGGGTGCTTTTTAGCTCTTGGTATCACTGCTTCTTTTTCCTCTAATAGCTTAAGAGGATCATATACATAATTCTACAACCATATGCATTTTTGTCTCAGAGTCTTTCCATGAGCTGTTATTTTTTAATGCTCTTTTGTCTGAAATGCTTTTCCACACCCACTCCATGTGGATAACACTTTCAGATCTTAGCTCAATTATTTCCTACTCAGAAAAACCTTCCCTTACCACCCCAGCTAAATACTAACAGCTTACATGCACACCTTATTCCTTTGCATTCGCCAAGAAGTGTTCTGAGTGTCAGGCACTTGCTCTGAAATGGCACTTACACAGCAGGCACCTTGTTTTTGCTAAAATTTATTTGTTTGGGATGGTTTGGTGAGAGAAGGATCAGGACTTGAGTGAGGCAAGCAAGGTGCCTAAGGCACAAAATCTAAGGAGGAGCTCACTGTGAGAGTCATGCAAGCACAAATTTTGCACCATAAGGTGTCCCAGTTGCACATCCTAGTCTCAACTCTAGATGAGGGGACATTATGGGAGCAGCTAAAGTCCGCCATGCTATTCCAGACCTCACAGATAGCCCCTCTGCCTCTATCCTCTCCTTCCAATCTGTTCTGTACATTATAGTAAGACTTGTTTTCTCTGAAGCCCTCAATGTTTACTATTTGTTTATTATGTCAAATCTGATTAAGAGTGTCAAGGCTCCCCACTGACATCCCCTGCTTCTGTCTGTTTTAATTCTCAACATCTTGCTGCAGGAAAGCCAATCTTATTGACATCCCTGCACATGCATTGCCCTTTTCTGCCATCACAGCCTTTTACCCTTGAATACCTCCCCCTTCCCTCCTGGGCATCTTCAAAGGAACATGTCAGCTCCTCCTTTGTCAAAACTCTAGTCCAGCCTCACCTCTACACCGTCCATATGGAAGTCTTGTCAGTACAAAACCCATAATTATTCTCGCCTTCCTTCATGCTTCTCATTTTCCTGAATTCTTAGCATTGATTATGAGTTGCTTTTTATAAAATCTCAGTGTGGCATTGTGGTCGACACTGTGATGTGTCATCCAGATTCCCCTTTATGAATAAGGGACTCGTTCCCCCAGCTGCTGGGCATGTTACCAAAACATGACTTTCAGCTGTCATTCCTCTTTGGACACTGCATCAGCTGCAGAGAGCTGGTGCATCCAAGGTCACATACCTTTCCAGGGAAACCTACATTTCATGACTGGTTGACAGAAGGGTATGAAAACCTCACTCCTCTTCCCAACTCAGGACAGCTCTGAATGGCTATCTCAGATCTAGAATTCTCCACAAGGTCAGCAGAGGTGATTGTTAGGCCTGCACCACACCTTGGCTTCTCTCTGTGCTCACTCTCACTTCTTTTTCCTCCCTTCCACAGGCGTTGATCTCAAGGGCATGCCATAGTAAGCATCTTGCATTATAAACTGTGTCTCAGAGTCTGCTTCCCAAGAATCTCAACCCACAACAGGTATGTTCAAGTTTATTCATTTGAAATTGTGTCCATTTGCACTTGCTTGTCTACTGTAATTCCTTCTCTCATTACAAAATTCTCGAGGAAAGAAACTATTCAAATGTTGATGATGATGGCTACAGACATTTTAGCAGCTTTACTACCCTTCAACTAGCCATGCATTTTGGTGCTTTGTTTATCAAGGTTTGGGGAAGATAATTATAAAGGTTTGCTAATTTAGCAACAAATGTTGTGACCATTCATACTGGTAAACATAAATGAAGAGACTTGGCTATTACTTCATGTGCCTCCTGCCCTGAAAATTTAGCCTTCCCTTTGAAGAGCAGGATTTTATACTCCTTAAATATAATCATTCTTAGAGAAGGAATCAATAAGTACTTAGAGAACCAACAGAGAGGTTTGGAAATTAGAAAATCACCCAACCTTGCATGCACTGGTCTATGACTGAGAATACAAAGTGGAATTCTTTATTCACAGCTCAGCTTTCAATAGTAAATCACTCATTGGCTTTTATATAAATCTTAAAACCAGAGGAAGAAGGTGATTAACAAACCCAGTTCAGTCTAAATATTCACTTAGAACGATGTTAAAATCATTACCATCAATAGTTTATGGAGCAATTTTACGATCAAGGACAAAATTATGTTTTCTTGAACATGTAAGTTATTCTTGGTTGAAGAATGGGGAAATAGATTAATTATGGCCCTGGAAACTTTTTAGTGCTTCTTAAATTTACAATAAATCTCCTAGCTCTATCTTTAAAGGAAATAGGTCTACTTATAAATTGATGGAACAACTTCTATACTATCTGACTTTCCAGAAGACATTTTAAAACTCTTATACCCCCAATAATTAACCAGGCTTTAGTACTCTTTATCATTTAAATGAGTTTCCGTATAAGAACAATACTGAAATTACTCTCTAATATTGGAATTTTTTCCTTTGATGCTAATAAAACATTGGACATGCAATAAAATGTGTAACTCATATTTCTCCAACAGAATAAATTCTTTCCAAAAACACCTTATAGCAGGGAACAATTATTGTTAATGTATGTTTTATCTGTAAAAACTAAATGCAGTAATAGTTCTCATTAATACAGCAGTTTTCTTCAAACTAGATTTGTAGTGAGAGTGCTAACTCTTCCCATAAAGTAAAGAAGCACCACCTTAAGCACATGTCATATCTGACCCTTTATTTCAGTTCATGCTGAACAAAAGAGTATTATCTGTTATGAAAGTTATCTCTCTGAGTCCCCAAAGTTTACTATAATAGGGTGGCTTCCAATACATGCTGTTGCCTGGGCCTGCATTTTGTTCTGTGTCAAGTATATTAGGAAGAATAGTGTCCTCCAAAAAATTCATTCCCACCCAGAATCTCAGAAAGTGACCTTATTTAGAAGAAGGGTCTTTTCAGATGTTATTAGTTAAGATGAGGTCATACTGGATCAGGGTGGGTGTAAATTTAATGAATGCTGCCTTCATAAAACAGGGACATTTGTAAACAGAAACACCAACAAAAGGGAAGAAGATAAGATGGAGGCAAAGATTGAAGTGATGCAATCACCAAGAAAGGAAGACCTGGGGCCACCAGAAGTGGGAAGAGACAAAGAACGATCCTTTTCTAGAGGCTTCAAAGGGAGTGTGGCCCTATGAACACCTTGATTTTGGACTTCTAGTCTCTAGAATGAACAGTGAAACAAATTTCTGTTGTTTTAAGCCATTCAGTTTGTGGTAATTTGTTAGCCCCTGCAAATTAAGGCAGCAAGTTGCATTGACTCAAACTGGTCCAGCAACAACAGTGAGGAAAAGCACTTTTGTTTTGTTTTGTTTTTGTTTTGTTTTGTTTTGTTTTGTTTTGTCTGGTTTGGTTTGGTTTGGTTTGGTTTGGTTTGGTTTGGTTTGGTTTGGTTTGGTTTGGTTTGGTTTGGTTTGGTTTGGTTTTGTCTTGTCTGGTTTGGTTTGGTTTGGTTTTGTTCTGGCAGGATGTAGCAGATAATGTTGATGCTCTACCCAAATGCCATCAGATGTCCCTTTTTACAACTTTTGATCCCTCTATCCATTTCAGTGTGCTTGTCACACAGAATACTCACTTGTCTTCAGAAGATGATCCTCTGAATACCAGCTGCTTTTCCTGACAAAAGTACCAGGTAATTTGCAACCCCACCTCCCCTTGCTGCCCTTGACCAAGGACTGGTTCAAAGAATGAAATCCTGCCCTGGCCAGTGTTGCTCAGCGGTAGAGCATTGGCCTGCACAGTAGACGGTCTCAGGTTTGATTCCAGGTCAAGGGTACATACCTAGGTTGCAGGTTCATTCCTGGCCCTGGTGAGGGCATGTGCAGGAGGCAACCAATTGATGCGTCTCTCTCACATTGATGTTTCTCTCTCTCCCCCTGCCTCCATTCCATTCTCTCTAGAAAAATATCCTTGGGTGAGGATTAACAACAATAAAAAAGAATGAAATCCTGCCTTCCTTTTCCCATGCTGGGATAACTCTGGGGCATAACTTATACTCCAAAGTACCTATGGAATCAAGCTGAGGCTCCCTTCTGTGAGACTGTGCCTTACATGACCAAATTATCCTGGTTTGCATGGTACTCTCCCAGTTTTTAGCACCAATAGTCCCATGTCCCCAGAAATCCCCACTCCTGGGCAAACCAGGATGCTTGGTCACTGTAAATAGCATTTTTGTTTAGATTCTTCCCTTTCTCTGTTCTGCTCCCCCTGTTCCCCTACAGGTTTCCCTCCTGAGTGCTTCCTTAATAAATCACTTCATCTCATCATGTAGGCATTTTACCATCTCATATCATCATAAGAAGAAGGGTAGTGCAGTACAGTAAGATATTTAGAGAGAGAGAGGCAGACAGACAGAAAGAGAACATTCACATAACTTTTATTACAATATATTGTTATAATTGTCCTATTCTATCATTAGTTACTGTTAATCTCTTACCAGGCCTAATTTATAAATTAAACATTACCATAGGTATGTATGTATAGGGAAAATCATATATATAAAGTTCAGTTCTTTCTGTGGTGTCAAGCATCCACTGAGGATCTTGGAACATATCTCCCATAGACAAGTGGGGACTACTATATTAGAAAAATGTCAGCATCCTAGCCATGCCTTGTGAATTCTATGCTGTCTGGATTTTATTGCTTTCTTCAGCCTTTGTGGCAGCAATGCACAAGGATGCCAATCATCAGAATGGCTGATTTCAGGCCATTCGACAGAATAATTCAGATATACTTTTACATGGACTCATAAGCATCAGCCAAGACTTTCTTATTGTAGAGATGGGAAATTGGGTACTCAAGAGGCCAAACAGTAGGACTGGTAACATAACCTAAATTTTATGGCCTCACCTGTGCTCTTGAATGGAAGAGAGGTTTGTTTTCACTGGGTTATTCCATCTGGGGATGATTT